CCTGAGTCCTCTCTTCCTGTGCTTGCCAACCCTGAGTCGGACTCTCTTCGTGCTGCGAGTCCTACTGTCACGCGTCTCCTTGCTACTGTCGTCACTGACCCCTCCTTTGAGTCCACTGCTGCGTCTGCTCTTGTTGCTGAGCTCGTCGACTTTGCTGCTCGCTGTCGTCTAGACTATGCTGCTAGTCTTGTTGCTGAGTCTGCGTCTGTCTGTCCTCCATCCATCGGGGGTGAGTGTGCTCTTGGCACGGACGTCCTTGACGACAGGCAGGAGGAGTTCCAGTGTCTGGCTGCTGCTTCACCTCATCTCGCGTCCGTACTGCTTACCCCTGAGGGAGACCCGGATGCACTAGACATCCCGACTCCGCGCTCTTACGCGGAGGCCGTAGAGGGTCCCTACTCCTCTCAGTGGCAGGCAGCTATGGATGCAGAGATGGCTTCCTGGAAGTCCACAGGCACCTACGTTGACGCGGTTCCCCCTCCTGGGGCGAACATCGTCAGTGGCATGTGGATCTTCAGGGTGAAGCGGCCACCGGGCTCTCCACCTGTCTTCAAGGCGCGTTACGTGGCTCGTGGCTTCAGTCAGCGGCAGGGAGTTGACTACTTTCAGACCTTCTCTCCCACCCCGAAGATGACCACTCTTCGGGTGCTGCTACACGTAGCAGCTCAGCGTGACTACGAGCTTCACTCCCTTGACTTCAGCACTGCTTTCCTGCAGGGTAGCCTGCACGAGGAGATCTGGTTGCACCGTTCACCTGGCTTCACTGGGACTTTCCCTCCTGGCACCCAGTGGAGCCTCCGACGGCCAGTCTACGGTCTCCACCAGGCACCGCGCGAGTGGCACGACACACTGAGGACTACACTTGCGGCTCTTGGGTTTGCTCCCTCTACTGCTGACCCGTCGCTGTTTCTACGCACCGACACCTCTCTGCCGCCGTTCTACATCCTCGTGTACGTCGACGACTTGGTCTTTGCCACTGCTGACACTGCTAGACTTGCCCACGTGAAGTCCGAGCTGCAGAAGAGACACACGTGCACAGACCAGGGTGAACTGCGCAGCTACCTTGGCTTGCAGGTTACCCGGGACAGAGCACGCCGCGCCATTACCCTGACTCAGTCACACATGGTGCAGCGGGTCCTTCAGCGCTTCGGCTTCACGTACTCCTCGCCTCAGGCCACTCCTCTGTCTACTCGCCACTCGCTCTCAACTCTGCCTTCGGATGAGTCCGTAGAGTCAAGTGGCCCGTACCCAGAGCTTGTTGGCTGCCTCATGTACCTGATGACCTGCACACGACCTGACCTTGCATACCCTCTTAGCATTCTTGCACGCTATGTTGCTCCTGGGAGACACCGACCAGAGCACATGGCTGCAGCGAAGAGGGTGTTGCGCTACTTGTGCAGTACATCGGGCATGGGGCTAGTGCTTGGAGGGCGGAGTCCAGTGGTCCTCACTGGGCACGCGGACGCTTCTTGGGCAGACGACCAGGCTACGCAGCGGTCGTCGCAGGGTTACACCTTCAGCCTTGGTTCCGGCTCTGTTTCGTGGCGGGCTACTCGCTCGTCTTCTGTTCTCGGCTCCAGTTGTGAGGCTGAGATCTACGCCGGAGCCATGGCTGCACAGGAGCTTCGCTAGCTTACCTACCTGCTGACTGACCTCGGAGAGCCACCTCGTTCCCCTCCGGTGCTGTACGTAGACAACAAGGTCATGCTAGCCTTGTGTCGGGAGCAGCGCCTGGAGCACAGAACGAAGCACATTGCTCTCCGCTACTTTCTTGCTCGTGAGTTGCAGCAGCGTGGTCAGTTGTGACTTGCGTACGTGGCCTCTGAGGCCAACACTGCTGATGTTTTCACCAAGGCACTTGCGCCTTGTGATCATCAGCGCTTCTGTACTCAGCTTGGTCTTGTGCCTGTCTTGCCTCACTTGCTCACCTCTTGACCTTGCTTGTACTGTTACATATATATACACCTGCTCTTGCTTGTCTAGCTTTCTATATATATGTACTCATGCATGTGAACTGGCCTTGTGGCCTTGAACTTGTGCTCGGAATGTGTGGTGACTTTGTGATCCACCATGAGCTTGCTTTGCTTGACTGGTCTTGTGACCGCTTGTTCTCCCCCAGTTTGCCTATGGGGGTGTGTCAGAACATTATAGCTTATGCTTTTGTGTAGGCTGTAGTGGGGTAGCCCATATGGGGTACAACCCATTTAGGGTTAGTACTTGTACCCAACTGTTTCATAGTTCATTCATCCTCATTCTCATTCTCACAAAGGGGCCGTGAGAGGGGCCGCTAAAGGCGACAGTAGGGAGGGCACACAGAGCGCGACTCGGGTAGGAGCGAATCGCGCTCCGGGCAGGAAAAATAAAATATCGTGCTAGGCCCTAGGAATCGTTCCCACTAGGGAACCTGCTCGATACCATGATAAGAAACGAGGAATGGGTGCATTGAGCAGAATGAGGAGTACAAGTAGTAAACCCTAAAGTGTTGTACCCCATATGAACTGCCCCACTACAGCCTACACAGACTATAGCATATATGCCTGACAGTTACGCGAAAGTCAAAGGTCAGCGACCTTTGACCTGAAGAGTACAACGCGACAGCAAGGACAAACAACTGACTCGTTACTGAGCAGTTGCCCGAGTCGTCACAGTATTGAACCGCAACAGCAGCAATAAAACAGTTATTGGCTATAACCTTTCATATTCCCTTGTACTCTTATAAAAGTTTGTATCTTTTTGTTTTAATCAATCTACTTTGCCCTCACATACCAGCGCAAGCTGGTTCAAAGACTTTAATTAAACGGTTCCGCATTTACAACAAGTTCTACCGAGAGTTTAATCCTGCAAAGATCGTAAGGGCTTTTCTCAGCCCACCATAAACGAGTTCCATAATGCTTTCTCCGCACTTCGCGCACCTGAATAAAGTTCGATTTTTCGACCAATGAGAGACCGATTCCCTGGTTGTCACACTAATGTTCCCGTGTGAGCGTGAAACTTGTGGTAACAGTTACGTGTTAGCAATGAAGTTCCCTTAAAAGATGGATCTCTGCAGTAACAGTCCCCTCAAAGCTGAAAACCCCCAAATAAGGTTTTTGGGTTTGGTGCAACCAACCAACCTGGCAGGGAAAATCCTACGGCTGACAACAGGTTGGTGTTCCAGTTCCAACCAGTGATGGGCTGGATGGATGTCGATGTCCAACCAGTGATTGTGGCTCTCTCAGGGCGCACTCCCAAGTTAGTTTCTATCAAAAGTCTGCCCACACGACCTGAAATGTTGACGTGGCATTAATTTACATTGGAAAGTTCTCCCACGCGATTCGCGGTTTGGACACCATGAGTCCAACCGGCTACGGTCGCAAATCCTGGCCTGACCGTCAGTGTACGACAATGGAGATCGTGCCACGTTTGCTGGGTGTTGGGACTAGTGTTAGACATGCCAGTTGCGTGCACACAGCCGTCAACATATATTTCCTTCGTGCCCACGAAACCCATTTCTGCGCTGCTTACGTGAATCTGCCAATTTTACCCACGTTGACTTATATGACCATTGTGCCCAAAATTTACGTCAGGTGCAATTGTCAGGCACGGACGTTTAGGTTTGGGCATTTATCTTAGCGGTAATACTCATTGGGGTCGATCGCACGCAAGGTAAGCCACGTGTCCGAATCGTAACTAAAGTATCTTCCGATTGCCTCCATGGTAACCAACGTGCCAGTTTGGTCTACATTATTTCCAGAATGGTAATGAACAGTGCATTCCGAAATCCCAACTGGTAACTCGTCAGAACATCCGCGATGTACACCGTACGTACCCTGTATGACTCAGATTTGAACGTACAACACAACCAATTTCTGTAGTTCCGAACCCCTTACAACACGACCCATTTCATGACGTAGGTAAAAAACGATACTACATAAGGTAACAGGTTGGATTTGCATATATGTTGGTTATATTTATAAGAGACTAGCACATAACTTCTGTAGACACCGTATTCAGGATCCATTTTAATTTCGTAATCCCTAGTCAAGACAACAATTCGACAAACATAATAGCATTTATTGTTTTACTATCATCTACACATGTTCAAGTTATAAACGTGAAATTATAACAAATATGTTACAATGCGAAGCCTATATCCATCTCATTTTCAGTTTTGCCGAGTCATACAGGGTACGTACGGTGTACATCGCGGATGTTCTGACGAGTTACCAGTTGGGATTTCGGAATGCACTGTTCATTACCATTCTGGAAATAATGTTGACCAAACTGGCACTTTGGTTACCATGGAGACAATCGGAAGATACGTTAGTTACGATTCGGACACGTGGCTTACCCTGCGTGCGATTGACCCCAATGAGTGTTACCGCTAAGATAAATGCCCTTTAGGTTTTGCCTGACGAAGTTCCTCCAACACTTGGTATGCGAGCTGGCGCGTCAATTTCATTGGATATCGGACATGCGACGTTGGCGACATCTGTCGCCCGCCGAAATGAGGTTAGGTGGTCAGAATGGGAGCATTCCCACCAAAGGCCCCAACATCTTCGGAAAAATAGGGCTGGTGGGCAAACTTCGATGGTGGGCGAACTTGAGAATGCGCTATGCCACGCTCCATTCACAATCGGGGTGGGGTCACAGCATCGTGCGAATCGTGGTCACAGGTGTGACCTGGAGCTGTTTTCCCGCCATTTGTTTCGTGCACGCTAGGCCTGTCCTACACCCTCTCATTCCAACGTGGCACTTCATCGAGTTCGTTCGTAGCAACCATGTGCGAGGCTTTCGCGTGATGTGCGAAGTGATCTGCGTGTGTTTGGAGATTCCAAACATCGTCGAGAATCTCGAAAGGTATGCGACACGTCCGTAGTGTGACTTCCAACCAACCCAAACCAAATAACAGTAGTCAATTGTTGCATCTCTCATTTATCCAAGTCTATGCCAGCAAGCTAACTATTGTCTCTGCTCCCGTACAGAGTAACTGGTAGCGCTTCCCACTTACAAACATCGCCATGACCCGCCAGGATGCTCCGTTTTTCGCGGGGAGCGTACTCATCTTGGCATTAATCGCGTCTTTCGTGGCGCTGATTGCGCCGGTTTCCGCGGCAAAGCAGAGTGACTTCCCCGCCTGCTGGTACTCGGGCCTGCTGCCCGTGAAACCGAATGTGACTGTAACGAGGTGCCTGGACGCCGCGGAATGGACGTGCTGCTCTGACTGCGAGGACCGGAAATACGCGGTAGTGGAGGCGTCCACGGATGGCCGCGTTATACTTAATCAAGTCTCGCCGGGGCTCGGCGACAAGTTCACAAACGTCAACATGATGGTACGCGACACAGAGTGACGCTCGTCTCTAGTACAGTAGCGGCTGAGTTTTGAATCCTCGTTGGCGGGGAAAAGCGAGGGAAATCTTGACGAACGTGATGGAGGAAGGGGGGCTTAACAAACTTTTCAGTGCGCGAATATTGACGGGCCGACCGTCTCTCTCCGTGCTCAGTTAGCGCATTCCCCCTCTCCCTCTCCCCATCACCCCTTTTCTCCATTCTGCGCCGCTGTTCCCTGCCAGTTGCCACCACTCCGCGTGTGCTCTCGCTCACATGTGCGCCACTGGCTGCAGTTCGAGTCGCATTTGTGCTGTCTACTCCCTCTCACTTCCTTCCCCTCTCACTTCCTTCCCCTCTCACTTCCTTCACCTCTCACTTCCTTCCCCTCTCACTTCCTTCCTCCCTCACTTTCTTCCTCTCTCCCTCCTCTCCTCTTGCTCTCCCCTCCTCTCGGTTGTCCACGCCGCCACTCCCGAATTCCGTCTCTCCGCGTCTCCGCAAACATGCGCGCACTCCAGCGGCTTCGAGCTGCGCCGTTCCGTCGTCGATCTCCGAGACTTTCACCCACCCTTAGCCGTTATTCCCTCCTCTCCCCCGTCCCTCCTGCAGGAGCACGCGCGGGTCAGTTGCTTGGAAAATGTTGGGTCTTCCAATGATTCCAACGCTTCCACTCACCCGCTCATAATCTTCACCTTTCCCCCCTCCCCCCGTCCGCCTCTCCCCCACTCCCTCCCCGCTCTTCCGCCCTTTCCCCCACCTCCTCCCCCTCCTCCCTCACCTCCTCCCCCTCTTCCCCCACCCCCCCCCTCCTCGCTCTCCTCCCGCGCAGGTGTGCGCGCAGTTCAGTTTTTTCCAGCAGTGCCATATCCTCCTGGAGCAGGTCGTGTGCGCGCCATTGGCTGCAGCTCGAGTCGCATTTTTACGCTCTCTCACTCCCTCTCACTTCCTCTCTCACTCGTCTCCTGTCGTGCTCCTATTGGCGCAGGTGTGCACGCAGTTCAGCGAGTTCCAGCAGTGCCAGCTCCTCCTGTCCGCCCCTTCACTCCCGCCCTCCTCATTCTTCCACCCCTTCCCCCTCTCTTCCCCCGCCTCCCGCGCCACCTCCTCCCCCTCTCCCCGCTCTTCCCGCGCAGGTGTGCGCGCAGTTCAGCGAGTTCCAGCAGTGCCAGCTCCTCCTGGAGCAGGTCGTGTGCGCCACGGGGTGCAACCCGGGTGAGTTCGGTGCTACCTGGTTGAGTGAGGTCGAATTACCACTTCGTAGCAGCTCCGCGAGTGGAAAATTATGAGGGTGAGTGATAAGCAACGAGGGTGAGTGATAAGCAACGAGGGCGAGTGACAAGCAACGAGGGCGAGTGATAAGCAACGAGGGCGAGTGATAAGCAACGAGGGCGAGTGATAAGCAACGAGGGCGAGTGATAAGCAACGAGGGCGAGTGAGAAGCAATGAGGGCGAATGGCGGTGACTTTGTGTTGGATGCGGTACGCAGTCTGTGTGACTCGTAAACCTTCTCTGTTGAGTGAGCCAGATTTCTCCCCTTTCCTCCTCACTTTCTCTTTCCACCCAAATTCTCTTCCCTCTCCCACCCCGCTACTCCCCACATTCTCTCTCCCCGCGCTCCTGTCAGAAAGACCGGCCGCTGCTTCACCCACTTCCCTCACCCATCCATCCACTTCCCTCACCCATCCACTCGCTTCCCTCACCCATCCACCCGGTTCCCTCACCCATCCACCCACTTCCCTCACCTATCCACCCGCTTCCCTCACCCATCCACCCACTTCCCTCACCCATCCACCCGCTTCCCTCACCCATCCACCCGGTTCCCTCACCCATCCACCCGGTTCCCTCACCCATCCACCCGCTTCCCTCACCCATCCACCCACTTGCTCACTGACTCTGGTCAACCCACCCACCACCCCCTCCTCCACCCCACGCGCCCCCCACAGATTCGGGCAGCTACTTCAAGCTGGTCAACGGCACGCGCGTCATGCAGGTCTGCAACGCCTTCTCGCAGACCGTCTACCAGACCTGCAAGGGGCTCACACGTGAGTAGACTCTTTTCTTCAGGTGATTTCTGTGTTTGAGTGCCTATGTTGCGCGTCATGCATGCCTTCAACCTCCCAGACCGTCCCATATACACCCTTTTAATTCGTGTGACTTCTGTTTTACGCACCTATGACCCATGCCATGCTGTGCAGGCCTGCAACCTCTCAGACCGTATACCAAACCTGCAAGCGGCGCAAATGCGAGCCCTGCCAGGCCTATCCATCATCCATCCATGCATCCTTCGCTTCACCCCTCCCTCCCTCTTCTCGCCTCCCTTCCGCTCCCTTCTTCTCCCTCTTACCCTACCTCTCCCTCTTCCTCTCCACCTTCACCCCCCCTCTCCCCCCCAGCCCCCACCACCACTCCCTTCTCCCCCTACTCATTCCCCACTCGCCACAACACGGTAGTGCCAGGAGTGGCGACGCTCGACAGGTTCTTCCCAACACCCGAGCGATTCATGGAGGGCCTGTTGGGCAAGGGGGGCACCGCCTGTGGCACCCTCTCTCCATCTTCACCTTTCGCCCTCATCTCTCCCCTCCTTTCCCACTCGCAGTGCCTGGTGTCGCCACACTTGACAAGTTCTTCCCCACAGCCGAGCGCTTCATGGAGGACCTGTTCGGCAAGGTGGGCACGGCGTTTGGCGTCTACAACTTCACAGTCGCCGTCACACCAGACGCCTCTGACCAGACCCAGTGCTACAACGGGCCCAAGAAGCTGCCCCCCATGCCCTTCTGCTGCGACCCGCTTCCCATCCCCATTGAGAAGTGCCCCGCTAAGGTTATGAACTTCACCGAGTATCCCACTATGAGGCAGTATATTAATAGGACGGTCACTGACAGGCAGTGTGATAAGTTCAAGTGCAGCAACAGCGGCGGCGATGGCAGTGCTGCTGCTGGTGTTGGTGGTGGCACAAGCACGAAGCTGAATGGCATCACATCACCTACTGACTGTATTCCTACAAGCAACACTGGTGGCAGCAGCAGTGGTGGTGCTAATTCGAGCAGCAACAGCAGTGGTGGTGCTGATTTGAGCAGCAGCAGCAGTGGTGGTGCTGATTCGAGCAGCAGCAGCAGTGGTGGTGCTGATTCGAGCAGCAGCAGCAGTGGTGGTTCCCCGTCTGGTTCGAGTGGGGTAAAGATCTCCCATCGCCTGCATGCCACGGCTAATTTTGTTGCTGTGATGGTGATGCTCGCAGTGCTGGCACTGCTGTGAGTGCAGGGCCCTTGATGGCCGACATTTCCTCACTTGCCTACACACCATGTATCATAACGGAGTCTGAAAGAAGGCCAAAGCGTGCAGTTGTTCGCAGCATTGTAATAATCCCTTACAAATCCCACTCAGCGTAAATTTGCCTTCACAACTCTGGACATCATACGGTAATAAATTTCAAGAGCTGTCGTTTGGTATTTGTTGGAAACAATAAGTCCTAAGTGCGCTTCTGTCGTATCAAAACCCAAGGCACCAAGCGAAGCAGTCCCAATCGGAGCATCGAGTCAACCTCGGAGGTTAGGGTAACCGCCTGGAGGTTACGAGAAAGTCAAAGGTCGCTGACCTTTGACTCGACAATTACAGCGCGACAGTTAAGGACACACAACTGACTCGCTACAGAGCAGTTGCCCGAGTCGCACTGTATCGAACCGCAACAGCAATACAGTTATCTACATATCTATTCGTATTCCCTGTACTCTTATATAAATCCTTGTATTTGCTTGTTTAATTCAATCAACTTTGCTCTCACACACCAGTGCAAGGTCGGTTCAAATTCTTCACTAAACGCTTCCGCTATTACAACTACTTCACCTAGAGTTATCCCTTGCAAAGATCCTAAGGGGGCTATCTCAGCCCAACATGGTATGAGAGCTGACAAGGGAAACTCTACTCCTTTTTCAAGATCATTACAAGACATGGCGACAAACAAGGAAAGGAGCTCCCCTAATGGCTCCTCGGGCACTACTCCTACTCCACCGCCAGCCTCTGGCCTGCAGACAGAAGAAGGTACGGCAACAAGACCAAGAGGAACGTCAACCGAAACCCCCATGAACCACCCTTCGGACTTTGACCAGAACATGATGGAGAAATTTTTCTCCTTCATGTCCTTCTACGAACAACACCAGCAGTCGGGACCTGCACAAACACACAACAGCAACAATGGAGCGACACCCATGAGTCTTGATGGGTCGTCATATGCGCGAGGAAACCAACAGCAGCAACCTACCTTTGCTCCGTACGAGCGCGGGTCAATCAGCTTCGTGCCCCACCCGCAACCTTCACCTGGACAAGAAAGACCACTGGACGCACTTCAAGTTCAGTCGCAGTTTGCACACGTCTTAAAACTGCAAACGTCAAGACCCTTCGACGGCAAAGACTTCTTTACCTGGTCCTTTGAATTCGAGCTGATGATGGAGGGCGCGCAGATACTCGGCTTCTTCGACGGGTCCCTGCAGTATCCAGCCAACGGGACACAATATGAAAAGCAGCAGTATACGTATCAATCAATGATGGCGTATACAATCCTATTGAGGAACGTGACACCAACTCAGCAGCAGAACATTCGCTCTTACCGGACCTTCGGCAACTCGGCGGAGCTCGCGTACAGCCATCTGAAGAACCTGTATCAAGCAACAAACAGTGTAAACCAGAGCAGGTTAATGGCGCAGTTGACGAACTACGCGAACAAGCTGCTTCGATGCGGAGGGTCAATCTCTGAAGACGCCTTCGTGACAGTCATCATTGGTGGGCTTGGTCCTCAGTGGCGCGCCACCAAAGCCATTCTTCGAGCCCACGGAAGAATCTCTGAAGCTGCACTCTGCGCCGAAATACATGCCGAGCAACAAGATATGGACCTGCAGGAAGAACGACACAGGAAGAAAACGACAGTATCAGAGTTCGCATTCCACACTCAACGACGACACAGCAATTATAACAACCGACAGCAGCAACCGAAGATAGTACCTCCTTTCTGCCACATCTGCAAGACTTCAGGGCACCCGCGCACACACTGCCCGAATCGTCAGCAATCAACGGCATCACAGCGACAACTTCGACCTTCAAGCTCCCAAATGGCTTCAACACAAGCAAGTGCGACGACCACTATTCAAGCTTCAACGACTTCACAACCTGCACGAGGAGCAAGAAACATAATCAACTGCATGACGAAGATAACCGATTCGTGTACAACCGAATCACCACCACACTACTCACCGGAAGAAGAGCTTGACAACAGAACGCCTCGCCGTGAGCTACTCCAGCCGAATCCAACGTACGCCGCCATCGCTCAAAGTGAACCGTCCGGCCAAGACACCTGGTTCTTGGACAGTTGCTGCGGGCAACACATGTGCTCGTCCGGGCGTTTCGTACAACGCGAACATCGACTCCAACGGGAAGTAATCATCACGGTTGCCAACAACCAAAACCTGCGCACACGAAGACAAGGAGTGGTACAACTTCAGTCAAGAGAAACAAACGTCATACTGCACATGTCTAAGGTACTCATCGCTGAAGGACTCGGCTACAACTTACTGAGCGTTAGCCAGTTGATGGCGAAAGGAATTCATCTGGAAGCCGACAGCACGACCCAGGAGTTCAAGCTTTACCACGGGAGAGGCGGTCTCTACATCGGAAAAGCAGTACTGAAGAACAACGTCTTCGTCCTCGACTTCGTTCCTGACCTCGGCACTGCAGACAGCGACGCCATCGTGAATTTCACTGATTGGACACACCCTCCGGATCTCGACCCCGACTTCAGCCCGGGAGGCTTCTGGTACTCGCACACCATTCCTGAAGCAGAACGAACACGAGCATTAGCAACAATTCGACAATCGGCAGCAGTAACAACATCGACATCAGCAGCAACAACATCGGTAGCAGTAACAACATCGACATCAGCAGCAACAACATCGGCAGCAGTAACAACATCGGCAGCAGCAACAACATCAGCAGCAGCAGAAACAACGACACCAGTCACAGTCAACGAAGCACCACCAACACCCGCACAACAGCTGAATCCGACTCAACGTGAAGTCCACCGAAGCGCCAACCTCATCGCCAGCTTTTACTCCAACTCCGACGCATATCAGCGTTCACCTGGACACCGCGCCTCTGAAGAGATCTGGCACGCACGAACAGGACATCCAAGCAACACGGTTTTGAATAACACGATAAGAGCAGGAGTCCTTGACAAAGATTCTCTACTTCTACCCGATGGCAGAGAACTCCAGAAGGCACGAGGGACTTGCCTTATATGTCCCGAAGCTGACTTACCTCATCGACCGTTTGCTTCACATCACAACCCGAGCGCTCCAGCGTACGCACCACTCGAAAAAGTCTACAGCGACATCCTCTACAATCGCGAACCAGGACAAGTCAACTACAACTACACCATCACCTTCATCGACGCCGCCACTCGATACGTCTGGCATCGCAACCTACCCAGCCGCGACATGGCACTCGCAGCATTCGCAGCCTGGCTACCGATAGCAGAGAGAGAGTCTGGAACACAACTAAAAAATTTTCAGTCAGACGGAGGTGGCGAGTACACCTCTCACCGCTTCAAGCAGTTCTTGGCGGAAAGGGGGATCAAGCAACTCCTCTCCCTTCCCTACGCACATCAGCAGCAAGGTGTTGCAGAACGACTGAACAGGACCCTGCAGAACAGCATGCGCAAACTGTTACGTGGCATGCGGCTACCCAACCACCAGTGGCCAGCAGCAATGGACCACGCTGTCATGCTACACAACTTGTTGTCGTCGTCGTCACTCCCGAACAACGCATCACCGCATCTGCTGTGGACAGGGAAGCAGGGCAGCACGAAAATGTTACGAGTTTTCGGGTGCATGGTACAGTACAGACCCCCAGAAGCACGAGCGGGAAGATTTTCGCAACGGGCACAGTGGGGACTACACCTCGGCATCGAGAAAAATTACAACGCATGGAGAATCTTCGACGTCCACACAAAGGAAACAGTAGCAGCACGTGACGTGATCTTCTACGAAAGACTCAC